TTACTGTTCTTTCGTAAGGCAGATTCTATTGAGAAGATTGAAATATGAGTTAAGAGCCTAATGCTTAGTACTTGCAAATTTTAATTCACATATCATAGACATGGAAACAATTTTCAAAAATCTAAAAGTGTCACTACAAAGCATTTATACTTATTTATTATAAAAATGAATTTTAAATTTTTGGCATAAATTTTTAGTTTTAAGACACGAATCTTTCTTGTCAGCACGCATCATTACTGCGAGAATACTAAGTATGTATTTTATACGGGATATGGACAAATACACGCTTTGTAAGAATATAGTAGTGGCAAACGAAGGCCAACCTTAAAGGACCATGTATTCCAAATTTTTTGCATGATTTTCAGAGTTGAATCATTTTTAAAATAAATAACGCTTCCCTAACTAAAACTCTTAGTTTTTAGTACTTTGTTTTTAATATTATGTGCTTTTTATACTGAGCATGTTGTTCATTCGTATGTATTGCTTCCCTAGGCGCATGATGAGGACGTCTCGGGTTCGATTCGTGGTAGGGTCAATTTATGAAAATAGCTTTTATAAATTCGCTCCGATCTGAGAGTTCTGGTGAGTACCACTTGAAGTTAATTTATAGATAATAATAATAATAACGCGTACACTCAACATAGCCCCGCACTAGGGAAGCCTTATGTCGCGTGTGCCATGGACACACACATAGACAACCACACATTACACATAAAAACTCACGAGAGAAATAAATATAGGCCATACAAATATTTCTCTCGGCCTGGGAATCGAACCTGAGACCCTGCATGGCAGTCCGGCATGGTAGCCGTTCGGCTACAGAGGAAGTATTCAATTTTTTTTTTTAAATTTATTAAGGCGTTGGCAAAGCCATCAGCCTAAACATGAAGTTTAATTATGTTTCTGTAAATATGGCCGCCACAAAGAAGATAGGCAATTTGCGGCGGCGTGCTTGGATTGACTCGGGATTCCTTAAAACGGGCCGATACGGGTATTTTAGTTCGAGATTCGTATAATTTCGCGCTTTAATCATCGATTAAGGCACAATAGCACTATCCTATTCCACTTTAAACTAGAATTCACAAAATAATTGAAAGTCAAAATAAAAACGACGCTTTTCCCCCCAAAAGGTCCAGAGCGAATCCGCAGTATTCAATTAATTTCAATGTTTTGGTCCTAGTTTAAAACCAGATAATTAGTGCGTCACTCTGACATATCTTTTTTATTAACTATCCTTCTGCCGGGAAAAAGACTTTCCGAAAATCCTCCACTGCTGACAATGCTCTCTGTTAAACTTCTCGAACCCATCAAAATAATCCCCACCAACGCCTGCCATAATTATTAACAATAAAATTATTTCGTTATCTTAAACACTTGAGGTTATGCAGGAAATTACAGCTCTGTCAACCAAATAACTTACTGTCGACGTACCTTTGAATAGTGACCCCAGAGAATAATTCGACCTTCTCATCTTCTTGATTAGCAGCCCCCGGGGCGCCATTGCAGGCCACGACACCGACGATAAGAACTAAGCACAACACTCTCATTTTGAAATAAAAAAATTAATTAACTTAATAAAAAACTTGAACAAACAAAAATTAAAAACAAAATTCAATATAAATGTTTAAAAATCAGGCGTCGAAATTTTGAATTTAGATCCTTTCAGTAAGAAGGTCGAGGAGGAAATGAAACGCGCCTGGGATGGGTAGCTTATATATTGGGCAAAGGAACACGCGTGTTTTGTAAGAGGCAAAGGTTCAGACTCATACAGGCTTGTTACGTCTTTGTTGTGGTGTCGAGTAATCTTGACACTTTATGTAAATTTTTTAGGAATGTTGAGAATGTGTATTTTGTGAAATTAATATTAATAAATACAAAATGCAAATAAAAATTTGAATAAGTAGTGTTATCATCGAGAAAAAAAAATTTCCCCCGGTTTTGCAAATCCAAATTCCCAACAAGGACTTACGGAAAAGAAGTTTAGTATACTACTTTCAAATTTGAGTAATAGTTTTTGATCAATCAAACATTGTTTAGTTCAGGGCACTTAATACTGAAAATACGTGGTGGCTCGAATTATGTGTCCGGAAGTGTATGTTATTTAGTTCGAAGAAAACAAAACTTATAAAATGCGTTAAGAAATCGTGAATGTTTAGATAGATAGAATCGTGAATGTAATTTTATTATTGTTCTATGTTAAAGTATTGATATTGTTGACGCTGTTGTTGTTGCTTTATAAGATTATTTTTATTTTACAAAATATATTTAGAAATTTATAAAGTAGGAAATAATCATAATATAATTTGGGTTTCAGAAACTAACATTTTAAGTTTCTCCATTAAAGCTATGACGTAATCAGTTTACTTGTTTATAGTATAATCTGGTTACAATTTACAGGTATCAAGATTAGTTATTCATAGTCTCAAACTCATTCAAACTATTCAGCGCACACGCAGTTCAGAAGGCATTGAATTGAACAATAAAGAGGCGTAACTAATTTAGTCGAGAAAAACAAACTTAATAATGTACATCTATTAAAAGAAATTTGTACTGAAATTATAATATTGTTTTTGGAGGGAGGCAGAAGTAAAGACAGCAAACATATATCATGAGTTTTAGGTACTAAACACAGCTGCCCGATCCGAAATGAATATATGAGAGAGTAGGAAAAGACAGACTAAATAACTCAGAACAAAGCCGAGTATATAAAAAGATTAATGTAGTAGACGACAGCGAACTAAGTATGTCAGTATCGTAGCAAGTTGAAGTCCGTAGTCTCTGTTTACACTATTAGAGTGTGGTATGTATATAATCCACGAATCCACAAGACGTACTGGTATGTATATAATCCAAAACTATTTCCAGATCAAAAACTACATCTGTGCAGGATTAACTGTTACTATAGAGACGGATATAATACAGGATGTATCATTAATGTTATCTCTTAATAAATCATAATTAATTATTTACTGCAACCACACAATATTTTATATTTATAGGTGTAAAAATATATAGTAGTTTACGATATTCATATATATGTATTGGTTTTATTATTTATAAATATATGCATTTATTTATTGATTTTTATCGCCATACATCGCTGTCCTTTTCGTGTGAATTATATAATTACTTCTATCCAAAGGTTGTCTGGCAGAAATCGCTTAAAGCTATAAGATCGCCCATTGTACCACCGCTTATTTTTATTTTTATTGTATTGTGTTTGTTTCATTTTTTGGTGTACAATAAAGAATTTTTGTATTGTATTGTATTGCAATATTAACAGGACTGACAATACACCAAGTAATCATGTGCGTGTAGGTTGCGCGGAGACTGGTATCTCCAATAGTGTGAACTTTTGAGTAGGCACAAAAAGCAATTACTATAAATAATTTTATTTCACAATTTTTGATTATATTTTTTTATAACTTTGGTCTAGGCATTATATTTTAAGATTTAATGGCCCGATATCATGCTGGACGAGTAAAAAAGAGATAAGTATCCAAAATCAAAGTTACGAGGTTTTGAAATTTAACCGACAATACGGTGTCAAATGTGGTCTTAATATTACCTCTTTTATTAATTATATTAATAATTAATATTTTATTGCGACCACATAATACACAAGAGAAACAACGTATAAACGTATTCTTTGCGTTTTGGTTGCGCTTATCGATACCTCCGATGAACATTACCACAACTTAATTTATAAACCTGTTCTGTTTTTATTTTCTTTTTCAAAAAATTTGTTCTTTATTTTATTTTCGAATTTTTTCTTGTTTCTTTATTTTTTTTTCAGAAAATTCGGGGAGCATTTTCATAAAAAAATAAGGCTGTTTACAAAAATAACAGATAATGACCAAAAATAAAGTTGACGTAGTGTTCATTGGAGGTATCGTTATGTTGTTTATTTTTATTCTTTTTATTATTTTATAACTTAATACTAGCACGTTTTTGTTTTGTCTTTTCTTTTTTCTTGTATTTGTTTACCACTGCATGTTCATTCTAAAAAGCAGAAATAAAAGTATTTGAATGCTCATCATTATTGGGAAGCTATATTAGAAATTATACCGTGAATTGTATACATAATATAAATTAAAATGCTAATACATATAATAATAAAACTAGCATATCGAGTAGTTTGATTTTTGCAATTGGTACACCTTGACAGCGACACTGTTTTTTTCGGATCTAAAATTGGGGATATTTGGTTTATTTTCCAAATAAACCAATATTTTTGATGTTTTTACTAACCCCGTGGTCATGGCTGGTTGAGATAATTGGTTCGTTACAAAAAAAAAAGTTTAAAATCTGGAGCAAAAGCTCTAATGCAACCTGCAATATTTTTTTATCGCGATAAACGTTTTTCTGAGAAGTCTTTATTTAAATATGTCTTCGTTTTTGGGGAATTCGTAAGAAGCATCCAAACAATAACTTGGTTTAAAACTCAAAGAGAAATTTCCTTGTGACACTTGGCAAACAACGATGGATTCATACGTTCTGTGTCATACAAACACGCCTGCTTATGGGACTTTCACAAGGACGCGACTTGTAAATACTAACTCCTACGTATCATTCTTCTTATTTGTAATAATTGCATACGTTAATATAATAAAATTACACTGTGTATTAATTTTTGGTAAGGTTCTATTTTGTCAACGAGTCGAATGCCTGTAGCGTCATATTGTATCAATGAGTGTAATTACTTAACTTTAACTCATTTACTCGTATACGTACCACTGCTGTTCAGGCCATAATCACCACGCTGACCCAGGTTGAGGACTTAACACGTTTTCCGAAGGTTCACGTTTCATTACTAATTGAAAAATATTTTTCCACTAATTCTGGCTAACTATGAACGAAAATATGCATAAAATACCTGCTTTTATTGTTTATTTCCTTTATTTTAGAATTTAAAAGAGTATATTTTTAACCGACTTCAAAAAAAGGAGGAGGTTCTCAATTCGACTGTATGTTTTTTTTGTATGTATATTACGCGATAACTCCGGTATTTGTAAACCGATTTTCATGAATCTTTTTTTGTTGGAAAGAGGGAACTATTAATGAAAATGCTGATGAACACACATGTTGAAAACGTTCACATACTTGGGAAAAAGTGTAAAGCCCGCAATTAGTAGGGCCCAATGCCCACTTGAGATGGAGTATGTCCTGGACTCTCTTTACAGGAAACTCGTGCCTACAATGTATATAATAGGATGTATAATAGGTTGATGATGAAGACGATTAACAACAAAAATATGACAGTCGATTAAAAATTATTTTAATTTAATAAAGATTTAGTAACTCCCCCTAAGATTCTTTTAGTGTTCATCATTATAATTAATCCTAAGTGTGCACTTATATTGACAGAAACTTCTATACTTTGAAAACTAACTCCGAATAAGCCAGACAGAGAAGAGGTCTCAGAGGATTTCTGTTCTATTACACCATGTAACACGATTTTTGTTTCTATATAATATTATGTTCTTATAGGTTCTAACATAAAATACGTGAAAAATATTTGAAGAGTCCAGGGGAAGAATGATCAAAGTACTGGGGGAGAATTTTAGGTAAAAATAATTTTTAATTTGGAAAACTTCTAAATATTGGTCAAAAAGACAAGCGCAAATACTACTTGAAATAAAGTCAGTGCTGACATAAATATATATAACGCTGTGTAATACATTTTTACTAAAAAATATTTATAAATAATTTTTTACTTTTTTATCATTTGGTCGCAACATTTTTATGTGTGCCTAAAAAGTAAAAGCAAATTTTTGAGGACATGAAACCTTATAAGCCTTTTCTGATTTAGGTAAAATACGCTTAGCATTTATCGAACTGGATGCGGTATGAACTCAAAACGTGTTTTAATTGACTTTGATCGTTATTTCCCTGGTTTCTTCATTTATTTCCCTGCAAAGACGTTTGTGGCAAGGACATAAAAAAAATGAAATTTGGGTACCGTTAAGGAGTTTTGGGGAATTTATCGTTCCCCTAACGAACAATAAAACGGCATCGTGAACTTCGTGAATAGCGATATAATTATAATGTGTCGTGGTTTTTACAAATAGCTTTTTATCAAACCGGGCAAACAATTTGCAATCGCTGACATGACAATTTACGTAACTAAAAACTGTCAAACATTTTCGGCAAGTGTGACACTCTCCTTGCCGACTCTCGTTCAAAGAGACTGCCACAGTCAACCGGTGATAATAGGTGGCGTCTAAAGCTGCCACAGAGTAAATATTCCAGTTTCTCTTTATTTAAAATAAAAAAGACCATATTATATTTTAACCAAAATTCTACAAATTGGTAACAAAGAACCTAGAAACGTGTAGATTTACGAGATTATGTAAATATCACTACCTAGGAATGTAAATAGGTAAACTACGTAAATACTATTGTGACAAAAGCAAAGACTACCTTCACGAAAATGGAGGAGGTTCTCAATTGGACTGTATCCTTTTTTGTATGTATGTTACGCGATAACTCACATCGGCATTTGTGAACCGATTTTGGTGATTCTTTTTTGTTGGAAAGGGGGTAATAATCACTCTTGGGGTTGCTACCCACTAGGGGATGAATCTGGTTTCGCGCACTTTGCGGTAACCGATTTCAATAAAACTTGGAACTTGGCAAATTGATGTAATTCCACGAACTTTGATGTCGGTTTTTTT